CACCCCAGGGCAGGGCAGAGGCTCTGGGACTCCAGGCTGCCCTGGTCCCTGTGGGGTGTGGCACCAACTGCCCCTGCAGTCATGCATGTGTGTATTTGTGTGTGTTTGACAGCTTTCCAGAACATCACTATAACAGGGTAAGTCAGCATGGAAGGCCTGGTTTATTTTCCAGSATATTTGACACTTCATGAAGGATGCAGTTGTACTGCAGACTGTTCCTTTATAACCCTACTCGTCAGAGAAATGCTCTTGTCATTAGCAAGGGGCTGCCTTTCAATCACTCCCCTCTCTGTGTTTTTTATTCATTGTGACTTGAATTTTCTCCTATGAAATGAGCTGTATAATTTTGCTAGGGTGGTACTRAGTGCTTTATTTCAGAAGCATTATAGGTTAATGCAGCTTCCAACACATAAAAATCCAAAGGCTGTGACTGTCTGCTTTGCCTTTGGGTAAGTGCTCATAATCCAATCAAGTGCCCCAGATAATCAGTTTGCTTCTGACCCACGCCCCTGGTGCAGAATGGACCTGGAAAAGGTGTCTTCACTGTGGTCTGTGGGAGGAAATGATTCTCATTTTCAGCTCTTGTAACAGCTTGGGATTGTGTGTCCCCAAACCTCAGAGCTTTCCATTCAGCACTGGTGGAAGGCGACAGCAGCAGTAGCCAGGTGTGTGCACTGGGGCAGGATCTGGAGGAGCTCTAASCAAGGCTTTGGTGAGCCCTGAACTGCACAAAAATCCCCCCTGGAGACTCCAGGGTGAGATAAGCAGAGAGGTGATGAGAGGAAACCCTGCCTTGCAGGGAAATTGGGTAAAACAGCACAGGATATGAGCCACRTGTGGAGTGTAAACAGGGAGAGACTCAGGCTGGAGTGCACTCCATGTCCTGTACTTTTTTAAAGCACCAATGATACACAGGCAGAGGAAATCCAGCTCCCTTTATATAAACTTGATTTATTAAAATTAGTATTATCACTCAAATTTTTAAGAAATCCTTTATTTCGTGTGAACAGAAGCATCTCACAGCAGGGCAGGGTTTCTCTCTGCAGGGCTGAAGTGGCTCCAAGGTGGCCAGTGGCCCAGGCTGGTGGGCCAGCTGCCCTGCCAGCCCTGTGTGCCCCCACTGCCACCCCAC